AAGTTAACAAAGTTAACATAGTTTTCTAAGGATCTACATTAGGAAGATCATCCTAATGATTTTAGTGTAACAATATTCTGCCAAAGAAATAGAGGCTGTGTGATGTACAAATCACATTTTTTCCTTTTGAAATTTCACAACCCACAAATACAAATCTTGCAACTATATAAATAAATAAATAGAATGGCTACGTGTCTCAGTATAAAAATTTTCTGGTGAAAATAATAAAGACGAAACTTAATAAAGTGCAGAACAAGACATTACACAATTAAGAATAAGTATTTACTTTTGATTCAGGCCGAGCATTTGTAAGAAGGCATCTTTAGAATCTGTAACTAATATATAGTTTCTCATTCAAAGGTTCCCATTAGCATCATAACTGATGAAATGAAGGTTAGGATGAAAAATAATGAATATAGCTAGTTATGGGTAGTAGATAGAATAAACACAATTAATCAGATAGTCTATAATATATAAAGCGTCTTTCAACTGTATCATAAGCAAAGTTGCTAGCTTGTAATTTATCTGATGTATTACAAATAAAAAGCTTGCATTAATTAACTCTTTGCATATGAATAGCAGAGTAGTAATGGACGAATTGATAAGGATTATTTATGCTGATAGTTTAATATACTCCCACTAATGCAAGGCATTTAGAGATTAAATCTTAATTTGTGATCAGTAAGTTAGATTAACAACAAAAATCGGGGATTTTCTTTGTTTTGCAACTATTTCTGCAACCCTTAGCATAAAAGGTGCATCTATTCATACTAATTTTGGGTTATTATTTTACTTGCAGATCAAAGAGGAGTGGAAAACTGTATAACTAGACAGGTGTGAAAAATGTATAGAAGTATTTATTTTATTTCTACAATTTACCACTATAGCTAGTGAACCTTTGAATGCCACTATAACCAATGTACCTTCGACTAGCACTTCTGAAATTCGAACAGATGCTACAGAGGTTTTTCAACTTAAAGCAATCTCATTAAATTACCTTCGAAATCAAGACATTTAACTGTACCTTACAAGAAAAATCTCCTGAAACTTAATCTATGTAGTCTTTGCAATAAAAGCATTTTTACATTTCAATTACAGACATTTTACAGTGTTATTCTGTAGGCACATCTTTCACAGGATATGTCATGGAGAATATATTGCACAAGGAAAAACGATAAACCCATTATGTCCTTTGTGTTCTTTCACTATTGAATTGTTTAAAGAAGAAGAGGTACTGGCCTCTAGTAAATATTACTTTCAGAAAAAGCAAACTGATACTGGACAGAATGATGAGGAGCTTATAGTTTCACTAGGATTGGTAGAAGGTGACTCTCGTGTTAGACAAGGGTGTCAATTGAAGCAAATTACTATGCAATATCAGGTGACAAGTCAAATCATTATTGAGAATGATGTTTCTGAAAATAATAATGATAAAATGACTCCAGATGCATCAAACCATTCTGCCAATGTACAAGATAATTCAAAAACTCAAACTAATACTCAACAGTTATCGAGAGGATCCTCTTCAAGGAATACATGTTTGCAAAATAGATTTCAAGAATTATTGCGAGAACTATCTACACCTGTCAGGAGAGAACCAGTTGAAGCCAATGATGAAGAGGAAACAGGAAAAGATTCAGTTCCAAAGAGTTTAGCTTGACTATTCCAAAAGGTAATGAAGGTTGGATTATGAGTCTCAAAAGCAAACTAAGAAAAGATCTCATGCTGGTATAATTATGCTAAAAGCTGTAAAGATAAAGTTAAGATGATTAGGGAAAATAATAGTAGGTTAAATAGACAGCAGGCCATGACTCAAGTATACAATAAAATTAAAGCACATCTTTCAGATATTACAATAACGAATTTATGTAAGAAAACAAGAAAGCTAGGGTAATTTACAAGTTGTTTGTGAATATTGGAGTAGGAAAAATTAAGCATATTAAACATATAGCATGAATGCCCTTTCAAGACTAATTGAAACTCAAGCTTCTCAGAATAATCTTGCCGATCGTGTAATAATATTCACGCTTACATGACTACTGCGCCTTATATCAAAATAATTAATTGCCTACATCTAATGTTCCGCACAGATCAGATCGGATTGGATTTGGGCAAAATCTGAAAAATCCGAATCCGATTCGATCCAAATCCGACAAATCTGAATCCGAATCTGTATCCATATCTGAAAATCTGAATCCGAATCTGTATCTGTATCTGTATCCGACAAATCTGAATCCAAATTTGAAGGATCAAAAAATTTTTTAGGTTTTTAAATGCCTACGACATTCGGAACGTCATTTATGTTTAAAAAAATATTATTATTGTTTTTTAAACAATAATGCGCCTCTGATGTTTAGAATGGCGTTATATTGAAAAAATAACAATATAATTATTGGTTTTTTCAACAATAATGTGCCTCCAACGTTCAGAATGACGTTTTACTGTTTAAAATTTTACGTCTCCGATGTTCGAAATAGCGTTATATTGTAAAAAAAAATATAATTATTGTTTTTTTAACTATTTTATGCCTCCGATGCGTTATATTGTAAAAAACAAACAAAAATATTGTTTTTTTAACAATATTGTGCATCAGAATCATTCGAAACGGAAAAAAACAATAATGCACATCCAAATCATTCGGAACGGCATTTTTGTTGAAAAAAACAATATTTTTATTGTTTTTTTCAACAATAATGCGCATCCGAAAATTTACGAATGGTATTTTTGTTAAAAAACAATATTTTTATTGTTTTTTTCAACAATTATGCGCATTCAAAACGTTCAGAATGACATTTTGTTGAAAAAATCAATAAATTTATTGTTTTTTCAACAATAATACGCATACAAACATTCGGAATAATGTCATATTGTTATAAAAAACAATATAATTATTTTTTTTTAACTATTTTATGCCTCCGACACGTTATATTGTAAAAAACAAAGAAAAATGTTTTTTAACAATATTGTGCATCTGAATCGTTCGAAACGGCATTTTTGTTGAAAAAACAATATTTTTATAGTTTTTTCAACAATAATGCGTATCTGAAACGTTCGGAATGACATTTTGTTGAAAAAATCAATAAATTTATTGTTTTTTTCAACAATAATGTGCATACAAACATTTAGGACTACGTAGAACTGTTAAAAATACAAAAAAAAATATTTTTTTTAACAACTTTACGCCTCCGACGTTCGGAATAGCGTCATATTGTAAAAAACAATATAATTATTATTTTTTTAACAATTTTATGCCTCCGACGTTAGGAATGGTGTTATATTGTAAAAAACAAAAAAAAATATTGTTTTTTCAACAATATTGCGCATACAAACGTTCAAAACTATGTATTATTGTTAAAAAAACAAAAAAATATTGTTTTATAATAATTTTATGCCTCTGATATTCGGAATGACGTTATATTGTAAAAAAAACAATATTATTATTGTTTTTTTAATAATAATTCACCTCCGACATTCAGAATAGCGTATATTGTAAAAAAACAATATTATTATTTTTTTAACAATTTTATGCCTCTGATGTTCAGAATGGCATTGTTTTAAAAAAAAATACTATTGTTTTTAACAATGAAATCTGCTTCTGACTTTTAGTTTGGGATTTTATTGTTAAGAAATAATAATCCTATTTATTTTAACTATAAATACTGCATCAGACTAATATGAAAAACAGTTTCAGTCATTTATTAATTTCATAATTTTATAATAATTTTATTTAAAATAATAGATATAAATCAGAAAAAAATATAAAAAAAAATATAAAATAATAACAATAAAAATAATAAAAAAATAAATCTTAATCAAATAAAAATCTTAATCTTAAATATAAATCTTAACCATAAATAAAT